ATTTTCAGTACAAATCGGCAATTTCATACTTTAACCCCTATTAAATAAAATAAAATTTTATTTTAAAACTTGAATGGTATGAAAAGTTTATTTCACATGCAAAATACATAAATTACACCCAATTATAGCAACTTATATAATGTATGGTGAAATTGCGGGCACATGGGAGTTGTTAACTTATGTCTCAAGGTGACGGGCGCCCCTCAGATCTTTGCGATTTTTAGGTCTGAGTGGCATTGCAACTGTTATGGACAGGCATGTCGCTTTCCATACCGTCACTTGGTATCATAAAAAAAGAAGAAAAATCGTTCATAACATGAAAAAAACGCAATAATAGAAAATAGAAAAAATATATATTTTCTTCATATTTTTTTCTGTCAGTGACTGGTCCACTAATAAGTACTTGCTGCACTTTTACTGTGTTTTATTCCCTGATCAAGCTGTTTCTCAAACATCCAAGCATATACAACCTAGGGTCCTGCCAATATGTTTGTTTGTACATTACCACGAAGACTTTCAAACAAAGTTAACTTTGTTTTTACTTATTTGTCAGTGGCGACGACTTGTGCAAACACAAACAAAAATCTAATTATATTTAAGAGCTGTAAAGTTTTGGTGGTTCTATATACATAGATTTAATTGTGAAGCAAATGCATCACATCTAAAATTATGGAGAGGTTTAATTGCAAGTGTGTTGAAACACACTTTCAATTAAACTGAGCTCTAAACTAAAAAAAAGACTGTCATTTTCACATGCTTATGCACAATATCCTGTATATTGCAATTTTTGCTTTTAATTTAATTTTTAGTTACTAATCTAACAATATTTATTATCGGATTTGTGACTGCAATAAGTAACATGTTTTTTTTTACGACAGGGCAAGAACTTTACATTAAAAAATATAGAAAAATTTTAAAATTCATAACGTGAATATCTACCTAAAGAGAGACTTCTTTAGGTAGATATTTATTTAAGATTTTATATTAGACCACTGTCTAAGGTATAGACTTTCAACATATCCAAAAATATGCCTATTATTACTTAATTCAAATGGTTTTATTTTTTATTTTTACCAGAACTGATAAACAAAGCCTCTCGCGCAGTGCATGGTTGATGCCGAATTTTGGGACACCTGCATATGTATCTATTTCATCTATTAGATAATAAACAAACCTCTATATGTAACAGTTGTGTGCTTTAACCATAACACATTTTATTATTGATAATGAGAAAGACAGAGCAGTGATCATAAATTTTGTTTCAATTTGTCCAGATTGAAGCCAGTGGTTCTAGTTAGATAGTTGGAGTTTAAAAATAGTCATGGATTTTGTCAACCCTAACAAACAAAGGAGATTGTATTTATGTCTGATCAATATAATTCCATATAATGTTTGATTATGTACACATTTTGTATAGTGAAGCATTTTTTTGCTTTATTTTTATGACAAATTTTACTGCTTAATTTCAAGAGACCATGTTTACAGAAAAATAATTTTATTGTATACTACATTTTCAAAAGTCAACTACAAGTCTACTTTGCAATTATTTCTGTGGTTCATAGGATTCAAAACGAAAACAATTTTTAAAAATTGTATAAGAGTTCATCCAGGACTGTACTGCCACCTTCCCTATTTCTGCTGCCAAGCAGTAGTGTGAGCATTACTGCGATTTTTTAAATGAGTAATAGACACACGCTTGGCCACAATCTCACCTGATGTTAAGCGACAATGTGATCGACTTATTTGCCTAAAAATTGCCTATTCACTCTAGCCTTGAATAATACCAAATTGTACTTTTCGGGAAACACAGATGCCAAAAGAGTATTCCATTCCTTTGCCATACGCATCAGAAAGGAGGAAGCAAAGCGCTTAGTGCGAAGAGGTGGTATATCAACATTATAAGGATGGAGTGTTCCGGACCTTCTAGTCGGCTGAAGGAGGAACGGTGAGGGTGGAACTGATTTGAAAAGTTTCTGTGCACGCTTCCTGAAATGTATCCAATTGAAAAGTCTCAGGGTGATGGGCACAGTGGGCGCCATTGCATTTTAAAGTTCTAAGCAGCACTGCAACCGTTATGGATAGGAGTGGCACTTCCTTTAGGCGCGCGACTTGTTCCTCCTGTCACTAACTTGGTATCATTAAATTAAAAGTATATATACATGTATATATTTTAAATAATACTTACCAAGGTTTAGTGATATCTAGCATCAATATAACACCACTGGCATTCTTATAAACATCTAGAAATGTTGCATCTAGTATTATTGTATCATATCCATCTTCTGCAACAGCTGGTGCAGCTTGGTTCTCCAATTTTAGACCTACAGGAGATTTTTTCTTTGTCCGACCTTTATCCACCACTTCCCATACTTCTACCTAAAACATTTTTGTATGACAAGAATACATGTTGTGCCAACCCCACCTAGTGTGGATTTAGGAAAGGTAGAAGAAGAAAAATACATAATGTTACTAATAGTACAGAATTATATTATACATTATTCGTATTATAAAAAAACCCTTGACTTGGGATACTTCGAAAGTACTTGTAATTTTGTGCATGGAGTACGTAACTTTACTTTTTTGCAATTTTAAAAACTTCTTACTATAATAACATTTTTTTTAATTTACACTATTGACTAATTATTAGATTGTTGATAATATAATATATAATGAAATATCTTACTCACAACTCGGACTTTTTTACAATAGAAGTATAGCAATAGCTATATAATGCATGTAATATTTTCACACTTACTTTCACAATGTAATCACTATTCTTATAAGCCCAATGTATAGGAGCAACCTGAATTTGATCTGTAGGTACATAATCCTCTATAAAAGGTCCCCCTTGAAGTCTTTGCAGAAGGCAAGATTTACCCACATTTCTATCTCCTTTTATCAGAATTTTCACTGGAAAAAACATACAACAACTTAAACGACAAGACATACAACTAATCTTTACCACTTAAAATTGATAACAGAAATTTACTATGGTATTAAATTATTTATTATCATTGGTAATAAAATCAAAAACATACTGTTAAAATGAACTCCTCTTGAAAACTTCTTCTGTAGAGAGGATGACATCGGTGTTGGAGCCGGGCAGCGTTCATCTCCAGCTCTTGCTAACTTTTTTAGCGCGGAAAACATACCTTGTTAGAGAAAAATAAACTAAACAAATATTTCGAAAATAATTTTCATCAAGTGAAAACTGACAACGTAACGTGTGGCAAATTCTATTTGCAGCTAACTTTAGACCACCAATGTCAAAAATGACCCAATGGCCATGGTGTCAATAATATCGGTTTACAAATTCTGCAAAAATATTATGGCCATGGCATCGACATTATGATGTCGATGGACCATGGAGACGCATTATTTCATTATTCAATTAATGTTTTTCAGAAACGAAATGTCAAGAAACTAATCACCAGAGGTCATCGAGTTTGAAACCAGAAATAGAGACGAAATAAGGGCCATATATTCCTGGTAACACATTAGCGATACTGCTAGAGATGGAAAAACGGCTTATTTTATTAAACGTTATGCTTTTTTAAAAAAGCGTGCTTTTTTAAACGCTTTTTCGCTTAGGGTGCTCAATGCTCAAATCAGGATTTGAGCAGACTCGAGTATGATTTCAAGCACTGGAAATACGACCCTAATGGCATGGACTTGAGTATGATTTCGAGTGCTTTTAACCATACTCAAATCCTGACTTGAACATTGAGTACAGTTCTAGAATACGACCCTCAAAACGCTTTTTAGGGTCGTATTCCAGAACTCTACTCAATGCTCAAGTCAGGATTTGAGTATGGTTTAAAGCACTCGAAATCATACTCAAGTCCCTGCCATTAGGGTCGTATTTCCAGTGCTCGTGTTTCAATTGCAATCCTGACTTGAGCATTGAGTAGAATTCTAGAATACGACCCTTGGTTTCAATACAGAACACTATACTCAAGTTTCAAGCTAACAAAATCGTTTAGAAAACGTTTGAGCGCATAGACTTTTACGTTAAAAAAGCTTGCAACGTTGTGTTGATAGCTTGAAGCAAAAGTAGACCACTAAAGGTTTTAAGATAAGTATGTTTTTTTTGTAAAAAACGAGTAATATTTTTATTTATGACATACCATTATGTATTAACATTTTGTTCATTGGCGTTTAAAAGCGTTCAAAAACACTTGTTTATCTTTGTAGTTGTTAACCGTTGAAATGGAAAAAACTGCTTATTTTTTTAACGTTAAGGGGTACGTTTAAAAAGCGTGCTTGAAAAAGCGCTTTTCACCTTAGAGGATGGAAAAAAATAAAAGAAAGGAGCTGCCCTAAGTACAGAATCAACGTGCATATTACCAAAATTTGAAAGTTACAAATGGCGGATTTCTTTAGTGTTGTACCATAATCTATCGATAAGTCATTATCGACATGCAAATGTATGGCTTGAATTAAGCTTAATTAATTATAATACATGTGAATAATTCAATAATACATTTGGAAAAACATTTGTTTTGACATTTGATGTACTTCCCTTTGACAACGGTATCATGTACCTCATGTACTTGAAATGGCCACGGTTGGCATTTAAAATGACGTTACGAATTTTCGATTCCCGTGTTTGACACAGACCAATGTAATGCTATCTCTTTTGGCTTAAGACGGCACGTAATAGTTAAACAAAGACAATAATATGTTTATGTTTTCGACGACGAAATGCATCATATACATATAACGTCTGATTTATATATGTCAACGTAACATGTCCTTTAGTTTCCATAGTCTAAGCTTTTCACACACTTTTTAGTTTGACGCTTAAAAAGTCGTTTAGAAAAACTTTTAAGCGCATAGATCGACGCTTACGCTTAAAATGAAAAGCGTGCTTATTTTAAAAAGCAGACTTTTTAAAATACTTTTCGTTTAAACGCCCACCTCTAGATATAGCTCTTATAAATATCAACTCCCGTTTGCACTAAAATATACACAGGCCAACTACTGACCTGTGTGCACGTCTCCGTATATTCCAAAAAATATTCTGTATTTATTGTAATAAAGATAATATCTCTAACAATGCCGTGCTGTTCTATTCGGTGGTGTGGGAAAAACATCAAAACATCTAATTACAAAGCAAACAGAATCACATTTCATCGGTAATTAAATATGTAATTTTGCAATTTTCGTCCATTATAGCAAAGCTCAAGTTAACTGGTCGTTTGAAGTGAAACAATTGACGACACCTGTCAATTGTTTCGAACTCGGAGTACAGTTGTAACAGTAATGATATGGCAGAATAGTTTTCCAACAAATTAAATGACATTTCGTCTCCATTTCTGGCTATATACTCGATGGCAGAGGTATTGTTTAGAGGACATCAAGCTTGATACTTTGGATCATTTGGTTGGTGCTCTTTTCTTAGGACTACAGTTCATAAAATACTACTCCACTTTACATCAATATTAATACACACTTACAATGTTTTTTAATGAATGAAACTGCCATTGTATTGTATACCAACAGAAGGTAATAATTTTATTAAGTGTACTATTATTTATTATACATAATATTGACTACCTAATTATCATACATCTAATCCCATTTTGATTTCTTTTTTTCAAACATTTCATTTCCATCCTTGTCCACAGCTGCATAGTATCCCATTGATTCATATTTGGTTCTCATATAGGCGAGGTAGCCTAGAGTTAAACCAAAACATGTCAGACCCAGGGTCATTATTACTATATTCTGAAGCAGAAAAAAAAAACATAAACAATTAATATCACAAGCATTGCATAAAATGAGCTCTACTCATAAAAAAATTAAAAACTTTTAACCTACAGATACCAGTCTCATCCACAATAAGCGTAGATTGTTTTAACATTTAAACATAAAACCATAGTTGTATTTTTAATTTTAAAGTACATATAATTCTTTAAGTTATATAGTAATATAATTACATAGTAATATACAGTAAGGTAAGCAGTATAGATGTAATCAAACAAATATCTTTCTGACTGCATCTTTGCATTTGCAAAACAATAGTTAAAATAGTCAGAATGCAGAATCGCTGCAGTATGCTTCCAGTTGTGATGCAGTCGATATATTGGTATAACTGTTTGCTGGCACTTGAGCTGTAATAGCAGTAGACATTTGTGATGCAGTCGGCATAGAGCTCGTGTGCCCAGACACTAAGGGTCGTATTCTACAACTCTACTCACTGCTCAAGTCTGGATTGCACTGGAAACACAAGTACTGGAAATACGACTCTAATGGCAGGGACTTGAGTATGATTCGAGTGCTTTAAGCCATACTCAAATCCTGCCTTGAGCATTGAGTAGAGTTCTAGAATACGGCCCTGAATCATACTCAAGTCCTGACTCGATCATTGAGTAGAGTTCTAGAATACGACCCTTAGATACATAGACAAAAAATATTATATAATTAAACAACTACATTTTCTTACAGGTTTTGCGTATAGCTCGAAATTAACTATTCTAAATGCAGTGGTAGATCTCATTGACCGAATTCCGTCTCCTGCAGTTTGCCGTGGACCCTTTGGAGTTTCAGACATTGATTATTTTGTCAAACACTTCTAGTCTTTTATTTCTTTGTAAAATTGCACGTACATACATTAGAAGTACTCTAATCTAATTTAACTTTAACGAAATTAATAGCATGTTAAGGATAAAATTGAAGAAATTCAGAAAATCACAATCACAAGAACACAATAGAATGAATGATTTATTATTGAATGAATAGAACTGATTCATAGATATCGTTATGACGGAAGAAATCGAGTTCATAAATCGATAACTACTAATTCGTCATTTATGGGGACCCTTATTGTCTATGACTTTCACGATTACAAAAGAAAACTACGCGACGCGTTGACACTATGGTTCAGCGAAGTTGTCAAAAAATATAGTATTTTCGGTGTTATTTCGTGAAATAATGAGCTTTTTTCATTGAATTCTTGTTATAAATCAAAGTTTATTTGTGTTTATTAAGACTATATCGATTTTTTTATAAAATGGAATCTGATTCCGCATTACACGGTGATGTTCTTGATGGCGCGGAAGTGTCGCCTTCCGCCGACAACCAGCAAGAAACGGCCGCAGAAATATCTGAAAATAATGGAACAGAGGACGAATCTGGAGCCACTCCAGGTATCTATCGCAATAAGCAACTGATAGCTTTGCACCAATAGTTCTTTTGACACTCAGGATCTTATTTTTATTTGTGTGTTTGAGTTTGAGTAGTTATTTTTGGTAATTTTCTTGCATTACCCCTAAACTTCCAGCCAAAACAGTGTTACTTAATTGAAAATATTAGTTAGAAGCTTTGTTACCAAGTATCCTTTTAGTTTTAACAAATGTGCCTTTTTCTGCCCTTCATAACAGAGATAAATGTTATTATATTTTTGCATTGAGGTTATAAGTTGTGTAGAAGTAACTTTAATACTAGCCAAGTACATGTTTATTAAACCTTTTTCCTGTTTAAACTTTGTTTGTATTTCTATAATATATATATGTATATCTTAAATATAGCTAATTTAATAATAACCTCTGGTGGAGGCGAGAGTGCGGAAGCGGTAGATGGTGAGCTAGAGCACGCAGTGCCAGCCAGTAGCAGCGATGGTTTGGATCTGGAGTCGGTGGTACACCTCGCGGGCACTGACCAGCCTATGGAGCAAGGTAACACCAGAATAACACCTACAATATTCAACATCATTTCAACATAATGTGTTATTTATGATCATTATAACAATTTTATTTCTTTGTTTCTATCATGATCAAAGGGAAAAATCATCTTTGCTTTTTTGCATTATATTGCGGTATTAAGACTAAGAACAATGAAACAAAATACTTTCAAATAGAGTACAACTGTATTAATTTTGTGTATTTTTAATACTTGCTTCTGTTTAGATGAAAAGACTAAAGAAAAAAGTTGAAGTCTGTGTACAGGTTAATTGACATTGACATGTACCATTTTTAAGGGGTAGTAATATTTTTACATAAATTGTATAGAATTTACCTTGCAGTGAAATTCTGTAAAGTAAAATAAAACTTCCTTTAGAATAGACTTAAAAGTATTTAGCAATTTTATTTTATGTATAAGTGGACACAAGACTTGTTTCACAAAAAGTGATATGTTTTGAAACACCGTTTTCAGTTGCTATTATGCTTTGTAATTTTGGGCTATTTTAATTGTCTTTGAACAAAAAACAATCACTATTGTTAAACAAATACTTATCCATTATTTTCATATTGAAAATGCATGAAGCCTTACATTAATTTTTTGTTTGTGTTTAATGGAATGATGTTCATTTAAATTTTTAGTGCAAACTCTATAAATTCTTAAAAAAGAATAATTTTAGAAGACCAATAAGTAGAGTAACATACCATAGTGGTGCTAATACCAGCTTTTAATACTTAATTCTGAAAATGGTAAGAGTCCAATTTTTAGGCTTTCACAATACACATAAGTCCCATAGTCATGGTTGGCTTTAGATATCTAAGTTTTAAATATGTATATAATATACAGAATCTATAACTTTGTACAGTAGGTTTTTTATATTATACCAAGTGACAGGACAAATAAGTTATGGTCCTGGTGGTGGGCGACACGCTTATTCATAGCTGTTCCAGTGCCATTCAAGAGCTTTAAGTCGCAAAGATCTTAGGGGCACTGTTATTGCGCCCGTCACCCTATGACATAACTTCATAAGACCCAAATGCCTGTAATTTCACCAGCACCAAACCAGAACGCAGTAATGCTCTGTTTTTTCTGTTGTTTGGTGGCAGAAATAGGTAAGGTGGCAGTACTCCAATGGGTGAACTTTTTGTAGGTATTTGCATTTGAGTTTCAGTTGTTTGATAAATCTATGTAGATAAAATAACAACACAAAAAGTTATAACCAGGATGAATCCCTTTTAGTTCATGACATGATTTTAATACCGTATTGTTACAAGGCTGCAGGTTTTTGTTTACTATCACAAATAATTTTAAACATGATTTGGTGTTCAACAGCTCAAGCTGAAGGTGAAGATGAGATGGACATAGATGACACCACAGCTGGCGCTGTCGCCGACGAGTCAGCTTACATTGGAGACAACTGTCTCTCCACTCCTGTAAGTACTACTTATTAAGAATTATCTGTAGAAAGCAAAGGTTGTGTTGTGCAATTGAAATTATTGAGAAATATTTTGTGATTTTTGTTTTATTTTGTTGCAAACTTTTATTAATTTCTCTGTAAATGTTATATACAAGTATTATTATAAGCTTTTAGGAGTAATGCTAAAAATATCTTTAATTTAATATCTGTAGTAATCTAGCTGAATGTTATTATTATATTGACTTCAGTACTAAATTACTCAGCAATACATTTCAATACAAGTATTCCTTATTGTACTCAAAAGCCCATTGTAAACAACAACTAAAGTATAATCACATTGTAAACAAATTAACATCTTTATAATAAGTTTTTCACAAAGTCAAGATTTGTAGGTAGGTAGAGCTTATTTGTTTTGCCTTAGATACTTTCTTGAAGTCATACTTATTACAGCTAAATTAATATTAAGTGCGTCTTGACGGAGATCATGCACAGTCTGAGAAGTACTCAGCTTTTGTTTAAGTGTCTTATTTACTGCAAAATAAATAAAAAGTATTAGCTTGTAAAAAATTGGCAATAGAGTGCATATTTCTGGGACAGGCAACAACAGAGGATAATTCTCCTCAGGACACCGAAGGCACTCTTGACCCCATGATGAAAGAGCAGGGTTTAGAAGAGGAAGGCGGGGACGATCAAGAGGAGTCTCCTGACCAGTCCATTAGTTCAGCCATCCCCACTGACAGTGGAGTGGGTGATGGAGCACCCATGTCTCAGGATGGTAAGTGGAAATATATTTTTATGATTTTGTTACACAAGTTGTGTATTGAATCAAGGAAACTGACTGTTGAGATGATTTTTTAAATAGCAACCCTATCTAGTTTCTTGCTTGTTATTTTCAAAAAATTTAGTTAGTTTGGCCAGTAGAGATAAAATTTTATGTAAAGATTTCAAGTGACTTAGTTTTTATTCCGGTTTGCTTTGATATCAATGTAAATTTTAACATTTGAAAATTTGCCAACATTTTTCTGGAGATTTTGTAAAAGTTTTCTGATGTGATGCAAGCATCACTTGGTGTGGTTCACGTAATAGCGTTAATTTTAGACGAATCAAGTACAATGGACGACGACCTGGGCGGTGGCGAGGGCGTCGCCAGCAGCGATGACGTCAATGACATCAGCAGCGCTGCGCAGGAGTCGCTTAGCACTGGCATTAGGTACTTATTATATACTAGTAGTTACAAATTGACAGTTACAGGACATCTCTCAACTACATAGTTCAATATTGTGCGGATAGATGGCGCCTTAAAATATTTCATTAACCAAGAATGTTCTTGGTTATAATAGGGGAAATACATAATAATAATAAGAAATATGTAAACAACTACTTGTACGTAGTTCAATGTAAATGAGAAATAAGTTGCGCTTCTAATAATCTAATTTGTCTGTTCACATGAGACTCGAATCGTTTTGTTGGGTGTCATTCAACTCTTGTTTCTCATGTATTTCAAAATGCATTAGAAACGACAGTACTATTTTCGCAGTTCGAGCACGGCCGAGACCGGTGCTGATATCTCATCCAGCGGCCAATCTGAGGCGGCCCTTATCTCCTCTACTGCCAACGGGCCGGCGCCGCTTCATTCCTTCTCCCTCAATGATTCCAAGGAGGATCCTAATGAGTTAGTATAATTTCTTATTATATAGTCTAGTTCAACCACACGCAGAATAGGCACCTTGAAGTCGAGTTGCGGAAACTATCCCGTTGCACCAAGTATCAAGTAGCCCAGTTCAAAAATATACAATCATAAAAAAAAAAATGAAAATGAAAACATAATAAAGAAAATGAAAAATATAAGAAAGACTGCCTTTCGGTACGGAATCGACATTTCGACATTGACAATCGTACAGAGTCGCCGATGCAGACACATCTGAGATGGCAGGCGCGGCCGACACCATGCCGACCGTTAGCGAATCGATGCCGCTGCTGAGCATGGGCGCCAACGGTTCTGCGCTGCTTTCCCCCACATTGCAAGGTATAATAATATAAGTATTAAGTTTAATATACAATTGTCATTACTTGCTTATATATTGATTATATAATGCGCTCTATTCTTTTACAATCGTGTTTTGTTAATTTTCAGGTTAGTTTATCTACCTAATTTCGATGGTAACTTCTATTGTTTAAATATTGTAGAATATTATCGTGAAGTATCGTTTGCTACTCGAGTGAGCTTAAAATATTATTCATATATAATATATTATTCACGATAATTTACTCGTAATAAATAATAAGAAAGGTTAGCTGGAAGAAATCCCTTTATGAGATAAGCTCGCATTTGTAGAATAACATTCTATTTCTTTGTTAAAAATTTGTAATTAGTTTGTATTGTACAATAAAGTGTTTACATACATACATACATAAATATTGCCACGGAAATTAGACAGAAAACTAACCCGAGAATTACCCATTTGATATTACATAAAATATAAGTATATTCTAAGATACGACACCTCACCATACCTTTCGAAAAAAGGTGATCTTCAATCAAAGCATGAGTGGTGTATAATTGTTAATTCTCATTAGACGCTTTGAAAGTCCTACCTAACACGTAGAGAAGTAATATTGATTTTATTGAATATCATGATGTTTTACTGCCATGATATTTATTTTTTGTGAAATTACTCCACTAGTTACTTATAATTATAAATGCAAAGATGGAACATGCAGAAAAATTTCTTCGGTTTCACACGACTCTAACCTGGCCCTATTTAAGTTTTTTTTTGTACTATCTGTAGTAGGGTAGTAAGTACAAATGTCCTCCCCGACGATCCCCACACTCGCTCCTCCTTTTTGCATCGGATTGGTATTTACGTAATCTTTCTTTTGTTACCGCACAGACTTGTCACCGTTTAGAGCGATATATTTAAATATTTTTATTCTCATACGAAAGTAAAATCTGGTTCTGGCCCTGTACTCTCGTTCTCCATCCGAAACAATTATACTGTAAAATAAGTAATTATCGATAAAGTTAAAAGTCGCATGATGCGAATGAAGCTTCATACTAGATACTTTTAATTTGCTTGAGTATTATTTATTTGACAGTAATTGTTTCGGACAGATATCGGACGGAGATCGCGATAAGAGCCAAAAAAACCCAATACAAAAGATCTGTAACAACCACATAGAACTTCGTAAGGTCTGCCGACTAGATCTGTAACTCAATTGGTAGAGGTCCTAATTTGGCATACTAACGCAGGTTTGAGTTCTGTCAGATCGAAGGAAATTTTCTTTGTGTTCGATGTTTGTATTAATAAAAGTCTTTAGCAAAAGAGAATGGGTAGGCAGAGTTGACTTATAAATGCGCAGGCGAGGAAGGCGGCGTCGGGAAAGTGTCGTCGTCAGTGGGTTCGGTGGGCGAGGCGGAGGGGGCAGTAAGCAGCTCGGGCTGCGCAGGAGGCGCAGCACCCCCGTTGCCGCCCACTGATGCGGCGCACGCGCTTGCCACACTGGCGAGCGCCGCGCTGCACCACCACGAACAGGTATACAACCATCCTGTCGAGTTAAGGTTATTAAAAAATATATTAAAGTTATTTTATTTCAGCAAGTTCCATAATCTGTTAGTAATAATAATAGGAAAAGATCTTTTAAATTAGTGATAGATGATATTTTATTATGAATCAAATCACCTTTCTCACGAAGCACTGCCACATGGGAGACGTATTCCTACCTGCTATAGTTTGTGGGATGCTGTTGAGGCTGTCCCGCACTCTGCGCATCAGGGATGCTGTCTTTTTGTTTTTTTCTGGAGGATGGCAGCAAAATCATCCATTTCATGTTTTGGAAATACCCACAAGTTATGTTCAGTCGTTAATGTTTAGAGTCCTTAGAGCTATGTTATTACGAAATTGAAACTCGTATCCAAAAACGACTCAGTATTATCACACAGTATTATAACACAGTATTATCAGTAAGTTTGATTTCAAAGTGAAAGCAAAATTAACTGAAATGAAAACAAGTCAATAAAGCGAAAATTTTAAAAGCTTAGGATTTATCTGAAACAAAAATCTACTTAGTTTTTTATGTATCTACCTGCTAAAATAATTATGAAATTATGAATAAATATTCAGTTTAATGCTAGAGAAGAAACATTGTCTATAGATTTTACTGTCTATTGATTGAACTGCCACGCAGAGGTCCCAGGTTCGATTCCCGGGCCGAGAGAAATATTTGTATGACCTACATTTATTTCTCTCGTGAGTTTGGGTGTAATTTGTGGTTGTCTATGTGTGTGTCCATGGCACCCGCGACACAGGATTTCCCTAGTGCGGGGCTATGTTGAGTGTGTGGCGTTATTATTATTATTATTATTACTTTCGGTACTTAAAGCCTTAAAGGGATATTTTTTCTGTATATAAAGCATAAGAACACGCGACGCATATGGCGATCAGCTTAAGTACATGCTAATATATGCTGATCGCCACATGATCTCATTATCATCATAAATTCTAATTCTGTAATCTAGCGATCTATTTGCTCAATTTTCAGGCTGAATCCGAAGAACCGAAAAAGCAAAATGATGAAGACACATGGTATACAGTGGGCATTGTCAAAGGAACTACGTTTACGGTAATCACTTTATACATACTTGAAGACAAAATAGACTGTCAATACAAACTTGGCATTCGTTCTTTGTTACATTTATGCTGAGAAGTCAATGTTTTATCGAGTTCTTAGGTTTTCACGATTGTTAAACGTTGAAAATGAAACTAGATTTTCTTTTAATTTTCTAAATATTTTGGAAAGTCATCATTAAAGTTTCTGAAATTAAGTTTAAATTTGAAAAAGTGAGAGTGTCGTATAGTGTCGGTATTGTTTTCAACGTGCGATATGTATTTACGAGTAATTGTGCTAAAGTTTTATCAACATCATGTTCATTGCTCAGAAAAAGAAATACTGTATTTTCTGCAGGTCCAGAACTACATTTCAGACCCGAACGTGGACATGTCAAGTTTGTCCCTAGACAACCTGCCTGACCTGTCAGCGTTCGGAACCACTCCACTCGAACACGGCACTGCCTACAAATTCCGCATAGCTGCGATTAACTCCTGCGGACGTGGAGAATGGAGCGAAGTTAGTATAAAATACATTCAGTCGCAGGGAAGCAAACAATATATAATTTTTCACATAACTTACAAAAGACCAGAGAATCCAGGTAATTGGTGTGGTTATTTGGCACATTATTATTATTAAAGTCTGTTTCAATCCATTATACAGTAATGGTAAACAAACCGGTTTGTTTAAAATTCTAAAGCAATCACTCAATAAATGGACCGAGTAACATTTCCACGTATATTATGAAGATTTCGAATTGATATCTTACTTACTTTCAAACAATATTCATTTGAATAACAACTGAAATTCGTATTTGATAAATGTTAGTCCAAATGTGAAGTTATTATTGTAGAAGTATGGATAGTCTATGGGGGCAGTGCTGTACGAAAGAATTTTGGTTCATTCAATTAAAGTTTTTGTAATCGATTAGCAAATTGATTCATTTCAATCACAATCGAAGGAGTGTAAGAATTTGAAAGAGGATTAAAAATTAATATATCGGAAATTTTTAATTTACTATTAAAGGTCATGTAAGAAAAACCAGTAGTAGTGTAGGTAAGTACACCATGTACAATCCTATATATGAACATATTTTTTGTATCAGCAGCGAAATCGCAAAAAGTACTATTCCAACTGATTGTACTAAACAAATCGATTCATTTGATTAATTGATTTGTAGTTGGCAGTACAATTGACCATCACTAAACTATCTATGGTCGAGTCCACAGAACAATAATCCGTGGTCGAATCAGTGACCTGTTTGTTTACTTTTTCTTTTGATTGAAACGAACTATGGTTACACTCTGGACACTGCATACAATGGTCGAAAGTTATTTACCTACTACATACAGCAAGGCGCTATCTGCACACGCGCAAATGTGTGCGTGAAGTGGCAACATAGAGAAAATTCTACCGCGAACCTGTTATCTTTTAATTCTATTAATAGAATTCTAATAATTACACATGTTCATTATATATTTTTATTAATTCACTAACTAGAACAATACGGAAGATTTATTTAAATTATATATTAAAATACTTTAAATATCAAATTTTGGACAGGACTTTTAAATAAGGTAACCAAGGTATTTGAAATTGCGTGTCTCAAGTTTATCATTACCTACTTAATAATTAGGTATATTCACTGCTTAATATTTATCGCCAATACAAATACAAAATTCGAAAACCCTTGACTACTAGGTCACGAAGTTATGGCGTCTCATTACATTGATATAATAAATCTGTATTATATATTATACTGCACTAAATAAATGAAGAAAACAATAACTGAATGAGTCTCAGACATATGTTTTTTCACCTTCGTTTAATTCCGAAAAACTAAAGAAACTCCTCTCTTTATCCCGTCAGCACAATTCACGGCCATTGTAATAGTAACGTACAATGATGTTATTTAATTACGTACAAGTTTTGTAATGAATGAATGAAAACTATATTCAAATATCAAAGCCGTCTTAGCGCAAAAACGGCTCGCCGATAGCCTCGTTGTCGCTCAGTCAATGTGACCGTCAATGTGCGGGGCGTGGTGCGGTATCTAAAGCTAGGGAGGGGCGGAGAGTGTACATTCTCGTTACTTTTTTATTCTCTGCTATAGTTCAAGACATTCCGAATTAGAAAAGTAGTTTTTGTGGCGTCACACCTGTAATGATGCCATACAAGTTGCATAGTAATTATGTGCTAAAGAAGACAGCTTTCCCCCACCACCACTGGAAATGTCTGCTGTTAGTTGATATAGCCAAAATATAACTTTCTGATTCATATTGAGCGTATTATGTGAATTGTTAGGAGCATTTTTATTTTTAAACATAATACTCTAATAAACCTCGAATAACATTTATGTTTTTTATCGTGTATATTACAAATTTATCATTTTATATCCACAGGAATCTGCATTCAAAACGTGTCTGCCAGGCTTCCCCGGCGCGCCGTCGGCTATTAAAATTTCCAAATCCCCTGAAGGCGCGCATCTTTCTTGGGAGCCTCCACAGGTCGCCGCAGAGGGCATCTTCGAGTACTCCGTGTACCTCGCTGTTCGCTCTAACACACAACCCAAGGTGATATCATTGTTTACTTTATTTAGCATTATTTTGATTTAAATTTTCACGATTTTCACACGTTATTTGATTTTTAATTTGGGACTTAATCACATATAAAACATATTTTACATACAAACTCGCACGGCTAGAAAATGTTGACACCCGCCTCTTCAGTCCCTTCGAGACCATGGACGTTGTAATACGTCCAAAACGACGAGATAATTAAAATATGTTTTATACGTGATTATTTAGCATTGTTTTCATTTTCAATTTATTTATTTTTACTTACAATAGCATTAAATATAATTTATGTTTTACACTATTAAACCTTAATACGGGCCTAAGAAATCTTTTTTTCTACAGGAGGCGTCAAAATCGCAGCTGGCATTCGTGCGTGTGTACTGCGGCAAAACAAACACATGTGTGGTACCACAATCGTCTCTTAGCGCGGCACACGTTGACTCCTCCACAAAACCAGCTATCATCTTTCGCATTGCTGCGCGGAATGAGAAGGGCTATGGACCCGCTACGCAAGTCAGGTGGCTGCAAGGTGAGTTTTCTTACATTTACTAAATGTACATTTATTTTTGTTTATTTATTTATTATCAGGTTACATAGATCCATAAATACATACCTTTTAGACTAACACACACAATAATATAATAAAACACTAATCAATTATGCACTCGTATGAACTGTGGCGTGTAACGCAAAGCGGATAACGGAAACGTCGATACATGACATCGTTCGGTCAAAATTCCTCTTTCATGAGGGTCCACAGATGGTCTTAACACAAATGAATTAAAATTATTCACATTGTGAAATGAATCAGTGACACGTATAAGAACGCCGTCAGTACCGCAGGACGCAGTAGATGATTATGGTTAGCCGGGGCTGTGCCACCGCTGGTGTACTTCTTTTTCTGTTCCACCTTTTTTGAAACCGTCGTTGTCGCACTGGTCAACTCGCCTCGGTGGTACCGACGACATAGTATAATAACCAGACATCGCAATGGGCAGAATATACATATTTACTTAAACTTCAAGTAATACACATAGAGTGGATAGTCTCGGAATGATTAAAAATAAAACTTAAATATCAAAACAAAACTGTTATACAAATTTTTTATATTTTTACCTACTATTACAAAACTTTCTAAATGCACTACCGTGGAGTACCACAAGGGTCCACAAGGGGGTATTAATTTACACGAAGCATTACAGACAGTTGCTAATTGGTCTCCTAATATTTAATTATAAATATTACTATTTTATTAATTTCTTGTTGCTTATTTTTTTTATTCCCGTTTTTAACTGGATTTCTGTGTGTTTATCTTTTAATTAATTTATTGTATTATGTTGTTGCGTGTGTGGTGCAAGACAACAAACGTTTTAACTATCTGACTCTCTATCGTTGTTGTGTAGTAATGAAATCAAATATTTCGTTATTTCAGAGGGAGGTATTTTTCACTCTATTTTTTTTTTATTAGGTTCATCAACAGTTGTTACATCATATTACAAGTTCAATTTGCTTAGATAAGAGTATTTTGACAAGATGCACAATTGTGCATCTTGTCAAAATACTGTTTCATCTGTCTCTAATTTGTGACTTGCGTTGAGCAGGGTGATCTTAATATTTAAGTGCTATGAAATCGAATACAAACATATAACAAACAGAAAACAATATAAACAAAATAAAATTAAAAACAATAATGATAGTTATAGACCAGATGTTTACAAGTTAATTATTGCTCTACAGAGACCGGTTAGCGAGTTCGAGAACATATTATTATCCACTGTGGCATTGTGCTCATTGTGTAATCTATCACTCTATGTGTATTACTTGAAGTTTAGGCAAATATATTGTTTATTTTGACTTCTGATACGAAAGTGTACTCTATTTTCATAATGCGGTATAATCATTTACTATTTTACATCATTAATAATTAGAACGAAAAATGAATAGTTATGAAATAATTAAATTGATATCATAATATGTCTTAAGAGTCTATACTACCTCAAATGGTTTTAGTTGATTCCGCATAATAGTGAAAGTATTGAATCAATCATTTTTGAAAAAATATATAATAAAATTGAGATATACACTGATTACTACTATACGGTGTGAAAACACGATTCCAAAAAATTTTCATTGAAAAAAAAAACAAACTCACCTCGAAATTTTACAAGAAAAAAGCTGTATTCAACAGTTACTTTACATATACCAATGATTTATTTTAATATCAACTGAACTAAATAGAACATGTATACGATATCATTTTTCAAATGGCTTTCATTTCGTTTGTAAAAAAATAAATTCTGAAATAAAGCCAGCGTCGCTGCCGCTCGATCTAAGCACAATGAACTGTTAATACAGTGCATTGTGCGTTAACACAGTTTCGCGTATTAATATACGCGAAAAATTTATTTGAATTCGAGCCGAGGTAGTATAGACTTAAGTGCTCGTTTTGTTTGCAACATAATTTAGTAAAATTACTTATATTTAACGAATTCGTATTCTACGTAGGATTAATTTTGCGTTACATATTAATATGTTTAATTCCAGATATCAAATCAACAGGAGTGAAGCGAGCAGGCGAAGGCAGACTACCCGGCGCATCTCCTTCCAAGCAACCGAAACAAATTCTTCACTAAGTGTTGATATTGACTATAGTTTAGTTTAAGAATTAAGTACGCCAAGGACAGTTTATCCATCGCGGTCTTGTACATTTTATTACAGGCGTAGTGTAGATTACTTTTTGTAAACGGTGGCCAGGTTAGTTGACTCTCGCGATTTCGTGGATCATATGAGAACTCATTTCTTTTATGGGAACAGGAGCAATGTCAAATTAGCGCCCCCTATTTCAGACTACAAAAGTTATTCGTCGGGTTTTCAAATGAAGGTATTTTTTTATAAAAAAATGAAACTAGGTTTTCGTCATAGAGGCAGAGGCTTTATTTAGATCCTACACTAATATCCGGAAGAATAAACAATTCGTTAGTCCGACATTTAAGACGTTAACAGAGATCTCGAAATGCATCTTAACCTATTTGGTATTCATAAACTATAATCATAGGTATCTTGCACGATACAATGTGAACGCTTTACAGTGACAGCGTTTATCGTAAAATTAAATGTGAGTACGAGGCACTCCGTTTCGCTATTTGGATCTCAAAAAACCAACCACGGACTTTAACTGTGCGATTTCCAAAGGCTTTCTGTGTAGTTGCAGCCCACTGCTTTTCCATAGAGGAGTATCAACAACGTACTGACAAAGTTCAATTATTTACGTTTTATATTGAACATTTCGAATATAAGCACTACGGCATGCAAAGTATTGATATTTTTGTTTGGTATTTAAGTACTGTCCATGAAAGTGTTAAGTCACAAAGACCGTACACTCAATTAATTTGGACTTAATATCGATTTTGAACCGTAACTCTGGTGCTGAGTGACATTTATGTCGTCGCATAATTTAATGCACAGTCAATGGAGCAATCGTTGATGTCCACTTTAGTTTAAGAAAGTCAGTTGATTTAAGTAAGATCTTCAGTGCGGTCTTACATTTTATATGGATGTATTAATAGGGGCCTAAAGATACGCACGGTACATGTACAAATGCACTGAAGATAATAGGACATTTGAAATTTGTAAAAAGAATTTGAAAAAAAAAATGTAAAAAGAATCGACGATCTTTGGTCGAAATTCGGACTCGATGTCGGATAAAATTGTTTCGTGGTAACTTCCGCCTGATACGAACCTAAAACGACGATTGTTGCTTCGTTTTTCGGATTTCGTGGTAGACGTAGGTGCTACTGGCGACGCGACTTTTAGGGCTTGTGTCACGGCCGGTCAGTGTAATGACGCAAAGTTAGAAGAGTCCATCTTTTTGGAACATAAACTTACTCTTGCTGCTGTAAATATAAATTTCATATAACACATTTTTATAATTGCTTCAAATGCGTAAAAACGTAAATAATAATTGTAAGAAATGACCCGGAATTATTTTGGTCATAAAATTTTCGTTTCGCTATTACTGCGTCTTAAAATGAAATTATTTATATTAATTACGAATCATTAATGAAATCTACTGTAATGATATTTCGATATTATTTAGAAATGATTTGCTTTCCTATCGTTTATGATAAAGTAGATAGTAAAGTGGCAGTGAAAAAAAAACCATAGGTTCAGTACTTTCTATACATCAAAGCGAGGAGCGTAAACCATGTCATGATAGTGTGTGTGGTTTAATTTTTGGGTATTATTATATGCGATAGATTAACATAGTTTTATGTTATCCTTGTTTTAAAAGTGTAAATGTGCTCAATATACCTAAGTATCTCATAAACAGTCCATCGTTTGCGCTATGCCTTAATGAAATGAATGTTAGATTTTTGTAAGTAATGAAACCTTATTGACATTGTTCCAAAAATGTTATTGTACACCGAAAGTATATATGCTTTTCATTCCCAATTTACTATCACAATTTAAGTGTAATTACATGAGGGCTATCATTATTACACTCGTCAAAACGCACATGTTCAATATAGCTGTCAAAGTATGCAAGGAGAACGAGAGGAAGTATGTGTGAAAGGTAAGTAGACGGTCAAAGTGTAATAAAAAAATATTTACCAAGTATATCGCACCCTTAGGTGTAATAACGCCACATCGGCAAAATGGCAATTTTTCAGCAGAGGCTTAAAGATTATACGAACGAAATTAGTCGATAACGTTTTTATGCTTAAATAGGAGATGTATAAAATTTCACATTTACATAATTTGTTTCATGTAGTTCGCATTGTTTGTATGACTATCACCAATTTCATGTCTCTAAAAACACTTTTGACGTATTATCACAAGTGACTTTATTATAACAAAGGTACGATATAATATTGGAAATTTTAATTGGGAGGCTGAATAATCTTTACTGAAACTCATTGTTATGTGATTATAATGTAAAGCGTAGCAACCAAACTATCCCGATAAATTTTTACAAAGTTTGGGAGAACCTTCTTCTTTATTTGTATGTTATATCATTTAAAAGGATAAATAAAAAGCATCAATTGTCCACTGTTTTGACATCAAATACCTTATTCCGCAAACTTTCGAGTGTGGAGAATGGCGAGATCCTTGGCAATGCCATTGTCTTCAATCTCATCAGTTTGATGTTGACATCTAAGGGAAGCGTTATTGGTCTTGTAGACCATCGGGGTCTCGTTTACAATGGTAGCCCCCAGTACTGAGTTATCTCTATATGTCACAGGATCGAATCGTCGCATAGAAAATAAATGGCCCGATTTCTCACCGATCTAGAACTTTTATTTTCCTAATTTGACTTTAAAAAAATTACAGGCCCATGGGATTTCTCAATTTATGTCACAGGGTGACGGTTGGGCATGTCACTTACCATCAGGCGTACGACTTGTTCCGTGCCATAGCTTGGTATAAAAACAAAATACAGATTCTTGTGTATGAATCGATTAAACAATAAGTAGACGGAAATGTATTAATGTGATAAGAGCATTGAAAAAGAACGAAATTATTACACTTTTTTAAAATATACGGATCCGGAATTATTCTATGGACAAAATTTGTGACGAATTGAGACTGTGACGAGTAGCAATTAACTCCCATGACTTAGTGAATGTAATTATATTATTTTTTTAAATTAATTCTTTGTACCTCATGTCGTTGCAGAGTAAGGTGTCGAATGACTGATTAAGATGAAGTGTATAGTATTAAAGTAAGTAGATTGAATGGGGTGCAAATTATGAGGGTGTAACCACACGAGCTGCATTCCGACTGAATGTTAACTACAAAATAGACGTTAGAATGCAGATCGTATGATTAAGCACTAAGATGTTAAACCTGTGTCTTTCTACTATGAATAAATATGGAAAGATTGAATTGATTTTCTTTGCCTTGTGCCGTAAGCAGCGCAGACTTCCCCGGTATCTAAAGTACGAGTCGAACAAAAACGGTTGTTGATTAAACGTGGTGATCACAGTTTGAAAGATTTTAAATTCACTCACGCCTAGCGCGGGTATGTATTCTCTGTTCGCGCGATCGGTTGGTAGTGGAAAGGGATAACCTTCAATGTGTACACTTTGATCACGATATCAGTTGTACGATTTGTCGCAACCGATCGCGCGGTTCAACTGAAAAATATTTCAAATAGTTTTCCAACATGTTTTGTCCAATATGTTTAATACAGTGTTTGTTTTGAAATAATTTACAAAAAAGACATTAAACAATTTAAAGTAATTAACGACATTATAATATTTGTTTATAATATAAAAACAGCTCTTATTAAATAACTGTGCCAAATTGTTTATAAATTAACCATAAAACCTCTTACGGTGCCAACAGCTTTGCTCGGTTTTTGACGATCAGTACTTGTTAGAGAAAAGTTAAAATAAAAAAAAACATTGTAAGCACCTACGCCCAATTTAAATTCTAGTCATCTAGTGTCGATCAACAAAAAAATACGTTGTCGTATGTCGCACGTGCGTGATCTGTGATCATGATTGTATCATACGCCCCGCTGGAATTGGCATTAGCCAAGTGTCAGTTTTAACCGGTTCTATGGTGCAATGTGTACAATACAATAAACGAGTGGATGTTGAATTCTTGACATCGCCTTTGAAGCAGGTACTTGTTGATGAGAGAAACAAAAAGCTTATTTTGCATTTGGCTTTTAATACTTAATTACATATTATTGAGTACACTATACATTTTGTTTCATTGCTATAAAATGCTATCTATTCAAAACTCCGGTAGGCATTCCAAAATAAAATAAAAATACAAATTATTATTATTATTAGTATTATTTATATGTACCTTTCGTTATATAGAAAATTTCCTATATTCAAGATATTTTGCGTTTTATCATGATATTAAAGCAGTATCACTAAATTTATTATTTGGACAAGTTTGAATTTTTTATTGTGATGATATATTTCTCCACGTAATATGGTCACGGCCTGGAATCTTCGTTACTGAAACAAAAATCTCGATCAGATATCGCAGAAACAATGCTTACATCAAAATTTGTTGTAGCTACAATAAACTATTTTGAGTTTTTTAAACAAATAAAAATATGTAATCACTCTAAAATGAAGTGGAAATTCCAGTATTTTTGAGATTTTTTTAAATCGAACTGCCATATCGAGTAAACAGATGCACATAATTCGATTATTTGTGTTCAGAAGACTATATGAACGTGAAGTGTATTGTCGCGCCACAATAGTGCGGATACATTTCGTTTTATATTCCGACACTGCACCAGACCTCCGTGGTCGAGTAGCTTGCATACCGGTTTACATGGTGTCGCCATCTCTGAGGTCCCGGGTTCGATCCCCGGCCGGGTCAGTATAGATATTAGCTTTTCTATATTGCCTCGGGTCTGGGTGTTTGTGGTGCCGTCGTTGTTTCCGATTTGCTACTTACTTTGGGATCACAGCAACGTATGTGATGTTGTCTTAAATAGTTGTTTTAGTGTCATGCGTTTGAAAACTCTGTATAATCGATTACAACTTTTTATATTATACAGTCAAGAGCACGTCAAGCCTGACACTGAACTTTGGACCGTTCTTATCGTATTAGTTGAAATTAAATGTTCATATGAAGCCTACATTGTGCTCTTTTATTTTAATACTTTGTGCCATTATTTCCGGTAAGAGGGCTTGAATCTTACCAAAGAAGTGGTGCCGAAGAGTTTGTACCAGCCAATGACGATATTGGTGAGATTTAGGTCGTCTAGCATGATCTGTGCCACGCCCATGAACACTTTCTTGCCTTCAATGCGCCCGTAGTCGCCCCACACTGTCACCTATGAATACAAGATGATATCATTAACGAGTCAATACAACTTCAGGTCGTATTCAAATTTTTCCCGTACTACATTATAGGTTTTATTGCGCAGGTTAAGCGGCAAGAACACTAGTTTTTTTAAGATTTTTTTTTACGAACGAAATTAAAGCCATTTGAAAAATGTATATCGTATACTATACGTGTTCTATTTAGTTCGGTTGATTAAAAAAAAACATTGGTATATGTAAAGTACCTATTAAATACACATTGACTTACAAATAAATGGACGACGGGTCTAATACAAAAACCACGAAAAAAATGTCCCAAGTCAACCTATTCGAAATTTAAATTGTAATGTCATCGCAGTATCGCGCTGTCAGTAGAACAAATGAAGACTAAAGCGGAGTGTCGCGCTCTGTATACGATTTTAGCGCCTTACAGGTGCGGACACTTTTTAGCGCGGACCCGACGTCCATATAATTGTAAGTCAATGTAAATACAGCGGTTTTGCTTGTAAAATTTCGAGGTAAGTTTGTGTTTATTTCTATCGTGACAATTTTTAGGAATCGTGTTTTCAGTATTAGTATATGGATACTAATTAGTTTATATCCTCATTTTACTATATAGTTTTTCCAAAGTGATCGATTCAACACTTTCTCTGTGCGGGATCCACCACAGCCATTTGAGGTTGTATCAAATCTTAACTCTTTTTACTACTTGATCTCCAGAAGTACGCTTCCACTTCTTTATGGCAAATGGCAATGGAGTGGATTTTTGGAATTACCTGAACTTGGGCTTTTTCAAGGCGACAGCGCACATAGGCATTATTTGGGTGTGCATGCTCCACCTTATTGTCACTTTCCATCAGGTGAGATGGAGGTCAAATGCGCACTTTATAAAAAAAAGTATCGAAAATTAGGGAATAGGTTTACAAATCCTTTATAATTGCAACTATCTTGAAACTTTATAACAGTGTCATTAGTGAGGTGTCCATCCAAACTTCATACTCACTTGTAAAACACATCCCTTGAAGTTTTCTCGAAACGTCAGGGTCTGTTGATACAGTGGGTCGAGGGTACGTCTCGCGGTGCTTGTCTTGGCCTTCGCGATGCAGCGCTTACCGCTCACAAGGTATACCTTCACATACGGCGCTGGCAGTGTCCGGCTGCCTTGCCGCGCTTGTAGGCCTCGAGCTCGTATTACCTCCACCTTTGATTCAACATGAGAAAGATAGAGACTTACCGCTACCTTGAGATGTAACTATTTGTCTGTGTCAAAGTCTTTGGACGTCGTATTATCTCATGTATCATGAGAGTTTATTGGATTAGGATGCGAGTAACAAAACATAATTGTTAGTTTATTATTTATATATTTTTTTAAATCGACTATTTCTTTTTTATAACATCAAGTGACGGGACGAACAAGCCGTGCGCCTGATGATAAGCTATACGCTTATCCTTAACAGTTGCAGTGCGTACCACTCCGAGCTTTAAATCGCACAGATCTGAGGGGCACTTCCACTGCGCCTGACACCCTGAGACATTTAAGTTGACAAGTCCCATGTGCCTGTAATTTCACCAGCACCGTTACCTTTCTAAACCGGAACACATTTATGCTAACATTACTGCCAGGCGGCAGAAATAGATAAGGTGGCGGTACTTCCCTGGACGAACTCTTTCGCAAGTAGCTCTACTGCTACTATAACTACTAGCTTACTATAATTATTAATACAAAGATCGAACACAGAGAAAGCCGAAGAAACTCAATACAATACAAATCTATAACAGATACAGAAGGATTTCGTAGACCAGCTAATTCGACCTGTAGCTCAGTTGGAAGAGCAAGGAGACGGTATTCTCGTGATCGCAGGTTCGAGTCACATCGGGTCGAAGGAATTTTTCTTTGCATTCGATCTTTGTATTAATAACTAATCGTTAGTTGTCACTTATTTAAATACTTGACACCACCTTCGTTATTATTTTGGATATCTATTTTGGACTCGACTCTCCCATCAGTAGGAAACACATAAACACAGATCAGTGGGAAGAAGTATTAAGCTACCTCAAGAAATCCTTTCTGATAGCACATGGAGAGTTGTACGTCACCCAGTGTAGGTGCGCCAAGGAGCTGTCTGCCAACCAGTTGACCTGGCCCCAGACCGTCGATGAAGTCGGAAAGGCCGCCGCCGTCTGAGGAGCCCGAGCCTCGCATGCCCGGCGACCACCTGACCACATCGGTTATTCGATAATATCTAACCACATAAAATATAGCGTCTACTTGACTATAATTTAAGGGTTTATTTTTCCATAGAAATGTGGTAATTCCCAAATTAAATTACTGGAAAATTGTATATATTTTTAAGTGCATGCGATTCAAGAATCTTAAAAAATTTGGCGTCAATATGCTTTATTTGTCTAATTTTATCGGTTCTTTGTTCCAACTATAGATATGAATTTTCATATATCTATGGTTTCAACTGGACAGCTGGGAAGTGACCTGCGGGAAGTGTACAAGAATTTACCTATGCTAGTCGTTTTAGTTTAATAAATTAATCACGACCAATGAACTATAATTATTCAAAAGGCGCGTTCTACACACATTTTTCAAACACGAGCATGCAGATAATAATTGAGCAAAATAATTTGAATATCATTAATGGCGAAGCAGAACAAGCTTTTATACTAAGTTTTATTTTAAAACTAATAATTCGCCAGTGTTTTATTGAAAGTTTAATTTTACTTCTAAATGTCAAGATAGTTTTACTATTTATTTACTTAAAATATTAAGTTTATGAATCCTTCTACATAGGTACAAATATATTACATAGTTAAGTACTACGTTTTCAGAACAGAAATGGTAAAATGCATAATTATAAACTCTAGTAGTAGTGAAATAAAGGGTATTGATATTTCGGTGCTCTGCTTGATCAATTAAAATTGTTTAGGCCACCTGTTTATGTTACTAAACGTGGTGTAAAAAAGGTTTGAGATTTCATACGGTGACTCTACCTGTGGTATTTACTACTTGTGGTTCTTACTCTTTCTTAAACGGATTTGGATCATTCATATTTCTTTTTCTTTTGACTGTATCGTGTGGGTAGTCAATTATAAATTTTCAAACCTTTTTTTGCACTTTATATTATTCAAATTTGCTTAAAGTATTTTTTTTTTAATTGCCTCTCTTCAATGTTCTCCAAATGTAAGTGAATATTTTTTTTAATACAAACAGCTAGCCTAAACGAAAGGTTGAAATTCAGATATCAGATTATGTTTTCAACTACCTCAGGATATATAAGAGTAGAGCAGTATGTAGTATAATAATTATGTAATAAAAAGTACAACGACAACATTGATACAATAGTGAAGAAAAGGGCGGCAGTCTTTCGGATGCGAGTGGTAAAAAGTTAGGTAACCTAAGTGGAAGTTATGGTACTAAAAATATTCTCAAGACATCTAGTAGAGTTAACGGTGTACAATAAGGTGCTAAAGAGACGCTATTTTAGAGGAATAGTTTTATAAATCTAATCAAGAGAAAGTTGGAAACCTATGTAAAAAGTAGTTGAGACAAGTAGTAGGGTACTATTTGTACAGCTATAGTACGTTACAGACAGATATTTTAGTCAATTCTAACACGAAATAATATTGCTTGTTCTACTCTATGACTTTATGCAGGTTATATATGTATGTAAGATATCTAAACTTCTGAGTACTTTTCTATTTGTTTCATCTTGGTAAACGATTTTCTTAATTTTCAATAATTTACTTATAAATATGTAATGGGATTGTTAATAACTTCTGTCTGGATTTTTACACAGCTTTGTGAATTAAGTTTATTTTAGGTTAATGATATTTATGGCACGTGACGTTCAGTGAGACATGCATGGGTGTTGAGGCAGGTATGTGTGTACACCAGACAAAAATTTAAGATAAACGATCAAAACAGTGCAGACACCATAGGCTTTCAGGCAACATATATCCCAAGCCGGAAACGTGCAACGTTCATCGTTATAATATATGCGCTCTCTCGTCGACAGGCTTATCATCCAAGCCTTTAATCTAGAAATTTGGTCACGTAACACGGTTATCAAGGACGTAATAGCGTACGTCATAGCGAACGTAGTATCCTGTAAACGAGAAGGTGCGTTGCGTATGCCATAGAAGACTCGTGCGTGCTGAACAGAAAAGAGAAAGAAGTGAGAAACACCAATACAAACCGATAACATGCGTTCACAAGACGAGAGGCATACGGAGTAGAATAGAGAAGAAGACGAGAGCAACATCGATGTATGTCAAAAATGGGAATTTAAGCTGCAGCGCAGCGGACGAGCGAGCGACTTACGAGGATCCCTCTGAGCTAGATATGGAGAGCAGGCTGGCGGCGCATACTTCGTGCGAGCGTTGAAAGGTGGTAGTAGCAGGCCCGGAGCGCTTGCGCCGCGCGCCACCGCCCTCCGCGCGGCTCGTTCGCGCTGCTGTCCCCACATACACCCCCCGCTTTACCAACTTTGCGTAACCATTGCTATCGTGTCGGAATCTATTTTCGTGGTTCTTTGTGAATATAATTTGTGATCAAAATGGCATTTGGATGTAGTTTTAGATTCCGAGTCGACTGCAATAAATATTTCTTTAATATTATATAACTGAATTGATTATGAATAACGTTTAAGTATTATTTTCGTTACTCTTGTTCAAGTTATGTTTTGTGAAAATTTTATAAGCGTATGTTGTGAATTTTCATTTTTGAGCATTTGCTTTTATGTGCTATAAAAATAAGTTCTGTAACGCAATGAGAAATTAACATAACTTGGTATATTAAGTACCTATTTATGTTAAGCAAATTGAAATGAAAATGCTATATGAAAAATGTGACTTTAATTTTTGATGTTGTAACTTGTAACTCTGAAAATGATGTTTCTTTATTTCTTATACGTATGTAGCTAGTTTATTGTAACATTTATATATTCCTCTGCATAGTTACCACACACGTGTTCTTCACATTTAGACAAAGCTGTATTGAACAAAAGCAACATTGCACATTTATTCTAACATTGCAATTATTTTTTTTTGTAGACATTTTTTTATTTCAATGTTACAGCATGCATAACCCGTGGATTTCTCACTTTGCCGTGCCGACATAGCAATATGGCGTAGCAGCGCGAGACATAGCGATGGTGCTACACCGTATATACACGCGACCTATAGTGCATTAGTGATTCGAGACGCGGTCGCGAAAATGCCACCCAGCCCCACTATTGTTTCAACGTGGCCGTCGCCTGTAAATGGCGCGAACCTGTCTTCATCGTTCTCGCTGGAGGCGGAAGAGGCCCGCGACACCCCCGCTGTGACGCCTCGCATTTCGCCAGGCACGACCTCCTCGCTGCGTTGTACCGTAAACGAATTTTTCCCACGTTTACCGAACCCTAACCGCCTTTTCCGTCCTGTCACAGTCCCATTATTAACATATTATATCATATTTATAATACCGTTTGTTGCGTGTGCCATAATATTAGGGGCGTGCGGGAATTATGGAATTGTGCAAGTAGGTAGTACGGTTCACCTGTGGCGGAAAGTTGCGACGTGGAGTTGCTCTTTTTGCCCATTCCAGGGCCGAAGTAGTCGCGTGGCTCGGCCTTCAGCAGCGCGTCGTCACTCGTTGGCTCCAATTCGCTGCCACCGCCAAGCGCTGTGTCACTCAGGCTGCCGTCTTTATAACAGCGACACATTAATAGTGTAATTAATATGTTAATATAAGTGTGAAATTATTAGATGCGAGATCAAAGTAGTACCTGCTTTCTCATCAGGCGGGACATCCGCGTTGCTCAGGCTGCGCGTAAATTGTCCCCGGCGAGATTCGCGTCTTTCAAGCGGCTGAGGCGGATTGTTGTTGCGTCCGTTGTCGCGGCCACCGTAGTCATTACTGTGTTTCGTTTCCCACCCGGTTTTACCACGTTGTTTTTTTGACATTGTAGATTGTTTTTTATTTTTTGAGTTGCGTCGATTCTCGTTTTGATTTGTGGGCCGGGAGTCACGTGGCGGTTTGGCACCAGAGGCGTATTTGTTATCAGGTGTAGACCCGTTGCCGATATGGCGAGGAGAGTCGTCGAGCGGTGGATGAGATGCGACAGGGGTGAGCGCACGATGGGGCGAGCCGAGGTTCGAGGGAGAGAGAGCAATACACATCGAATTAGCCATAATACTAAATTCTCTATTTAAGTGATCCGTTGACGACTCGGAGTATGAACGCCTACGAGGTTTTTTAATAATAGATGGCAAAGGTTCTCTTAATGAAAAGTCAATGCTAGCTGGAGGGGATAAGGAGTTGGGTGAACAGTACTCTTGGACGGTTGGGGTTTCATTTATGCTAACTACGTTGGAATGTTTCTTTACTGACTGTATATTATGAACATTGTCTACACTTGGATCGTTTATTAATTTTATAGAGCCCACGCTCATTTTCTTGAAAATATGTATCGCTTCTTTTGGGCTTGACAAAGATTGCGCACGAGACGGCGAAGTTTTTAATTCAACAGCGGAATCAGAGTGTCGACGTCGTCGTTGATCACTTGTTTTGGATTGAATACTTTTAGTTTTTTCTTTTGAAATATTTTCAAGTATGCAAGTTGTTTTCTTGTCTTCTTTAACACTGATGTCAGAGCACGACAAATCTAATGACTGCGTTTTTTGTGGACTCTTTCCCTCATAACTTGCCTTTAAATCTAAAGAGAGAAACTTTTTTCGACTTTCCATAGTGTTTTCGAAAGTTTGGGGTTCAGTTATAATCTCATTACTATTTACATTAGAGGGGTTCACTTCAAAACTGTTTTGTTTATCTATGCTGACATGAATAGTAGTTTCGGCTTCGCTGCCGTCGCTATTGTAACCATGATATTGAGAGCAATGTTCATAATCCATTTTTTGAACACTGTTCTGCTGACTAAACACTAACGGTATTTCGGGTAAAGACCGGACGCAAACATTGTGTAAACGAGGCATATTAGGCGACTGCCTACTATAGCCATCAGGGTTTCGTTGAAGATTATAGTCCGATTCAATAGTAGCGGCACGTTCATGCCATAACAGTTGTCGGGATGGTTTCTTTTTATTTGACAAAGATAGCGACCGTACGACATTTGGAGGTGGACCGTAATAAATGTTAGCTGGTAAAGTTCGTTTATATTCTCTGTTTAGTGAAATAGAAGCTCCGCTATGATTGGCAGTATTAATTGGCGGTCGACATAAGTGCATTTGGAATGTGTGTTCGCCAATATCGTCGGTTATTTTATAAGTTTTTGTATATTCTGGGCAACTTTGGCTTCGTTGGTAAGATTTGCGGTGGGAGTCTTTGATAGCTGAACTGATGGAACGACTGCGAGCAAGAATGCGGCGTTGCCGGCGGGTGGGGCGCGTCCGGCTAGTTGATTGCACAAGGGGAGCTTCATATTTTGCTCGTAAATTCCTACGGACCGCGCGTTCCGCACTCGACGGCACGCTAACACATGGTAACAATCGAGGGGGGCCATTGCGACGGACAGGGCTAGGTCCAGAGGTACTATCATACAACGAGGACGTACTGTGGTGCGGTTGCGTACGAATATTACGATCGGGAAGAATTTGTTTCCGGCTGCAAAGTTTTGTTAAGAATATCCATCAGTAAAGGGCCTTGAACATTATTACGGTTGAGTTACGCAGGTACAGTTTGTATCGTGTGTGGTACCTGAGCATTCGCGTTGGTCTTGGCCGTTCCGACTGCGTGCTGAAAGCGCTGGAGGTGACCGAGGCCACGGACTCGAGGTCGGAGTCCCCTGCGGCGGCGTCTGGCGACAGTCGCCGGCGTGGCGGCGCCCAACTGCCACCATTGCCGCCGCCGCGCGCCGCCAGCTCCGAGTCCGATAACCCTGCGTAGTGCCGCTCCCACCCTAAGTGTTTTTCATAACCAGGTTCTTATCTAATATTAGTAGCTATACTTTTCGAATTTCACCTCTATTAGCTCTATTTGTACAAATAACTAGGTACTCTAATCGCTAGGGAATCGGGTGCTTCTAACTAATGCTAATCACTACTTGCAACCCGTATGCACAGTGGGCCACTACAACTACGTGACTACCTGTAGTTGGTGTGCCAGGTGGCGTATGCAGTAGTGTGTACGGTATATTTTCAAATTAAATAAAATGTTTCAATTAGTGTCGGGTACGTAATTGAACCATGACAATATGAAATTTCTACAGTTTCAATTTAAATTATTAATTCAATTGAATATGAATTGATTTTTTTCCAATGACAAAGATTGTAAATGCAATTTTAGGCATTTATAACCGACTTCACCCATTTTTGATCATAGTTAAAGATACTGTTTATTTTGACTATTATTGTTTTAGTTCCTCATAATGAAATGGTGGTGAGCGGATTTGCGTGTATTGACCTTGTGGCGTGCTGCGGTACGTGAGTGTGGCGCCAATGTGATGTGGGCCGATCCACTTACGTTCCTCGAGGTCTGCCGACACCTGCGCGCGAACCGCCTGCTGGGTGTTCTGCAATGCAAAATAAATTATAAAATGTGACGTCGTCGTACAGTAGGACGAAACTAGACTTCGAAAGCAAGTATTTGTACCTGGTGTGGTATTTGTGGAAGTTGCCGTTTCTTGGGGCTAGTTGTAGGCGTTGCAGTGGCAGAACGTGATTGGAAACGCGGCGCGTACGCGTGTGTCGGCAGCCTGCCCGCGCACATCGCTCCGCGGCCATCATGCACTGAAAGCACCCCACGCCACGTTATCTTAACCATCTTGCACGCAATATGACAACATTTAGATTAGATTCTTGCCTAAACTAAATTATTGATCCATAGCTGTTGAGAAACATTCGAAGACGAAGCCACGGAAGTTTATCGAAAGAGAAAATTGTTAGACCGAATGCCATGCAATCATCGTGAAATGTATCTTAATCGATAGATGCTTTGCGTCCACCTTCAATGATAGAAACACGAACGCAACGCCTAAATATGTAGACAAGAGTGGACAGCATGCAGTGTCTGGTTGAGTAGGACCGGGTTAGCGGAAGATGCGTGAAACAAAAAGTGAAAGAGCGAGGAAGTCGAATAGTAAGTAGTAGTAAAGTGGTGATGAGCGGACGCGGCGAGAACGTGCGAATCTCATCGGTAGTGTTCCGTGCGGGGTCGAGCCTCGCTGTTGGCGGAGGTCGGCCGATACTCGGCGCGGAGTAAATGTGGCCGGGCGACGGCGCGGCACCTGAGTAGTCCCCGGGCGGAGACAGCGAACGCCGCGGCGACTTGCTGCGCGCGCGCGCCGGCCGAGCTCCACCCGCCGCCGACTGCGACCGCGCTACAGCGTACCCGCCACCCTAATTGAATTGCATATTACTTAGCTTGCATTTTAAAATACATTCCACTGTGCTCTTGGCTTTGTGCATTTTGTAGTAGCAGTAGAGCTATTTTGGTTTTGAAGGGACATGAGACCTGTCAACTTATGCCTCAGGGCGACAATTCAGTGGCAGTGTCCCTGAGATCTTTGCGATTTGAAGCTCTGAGTGGCTCTGCAACTGCTATGGATAGGCGCGTTGCTTAACACAAGACGCACGACTTGTTCGTTCCGCCGCTAGGTATGTGTACCTGGTACTAACTTTGTTGTTCTTAATTCGAATAGATAGGTACTGTTAATCACTCAATGTAAACTTATAGGTATGGGGTTCGTTTGGACGCTCACCCGTTCTCTGGACATGCCGGCGGCGCGCACGCGGCCCGCCGGCGACATGTCGCGTCTGCTGCATCTCGCACTGTCACCGTCTATCCGCTGAGGAAGACAAACTCTTTGTAGCAGTCACCAGGCGTGCCAATGCCGAATCCTCTTCCGACATTCGGGCACGTCTTGGTACAAGCAAAGTATAATGATGAAATACTCAGTGTAAGATAACTAAGTTTCCAAACTACAATAGGTACAAGAGTCACCATCCAACTCATTCATTTGTACCTTACAATATGGCACACTCTTCTTTATTTTCGTCTTCTTCATGCCCACTCACTACTCTGGTTTCTAGTAACTCTATTGGTTTATCGATAGACACTTGCTGAAGTGCTCGAAACGCTGTTTTTGAAGTTTTCGGCAACGCGTGAAATGGATGGTTTTGAAATTTGCCAAGTATTTAATATTGCTAAATTTTGGGAAGGGTCCATTCTCCCCAATTTTTGTTAAACTTACCACATCATGTTGCGGCGGTGGGCTAGAGCTAGACGCGAGACTGGAGAGCGAGTGGTGTCGTCTCAAGTCGCATTCGCTCGGCGTGTCGGAGTCGGACAGTCGTGACGTCGACGTCGAAGGTGGGGACAGGTGCTCTCCATCCGCTTCTTCCTCGCGATACCTCTGCCACATAAATAAGTGCTGTCACACTTCTCCTTTTAAAACTAAGCTTTGCTGTGTGTTTGGAATGCAATAATAAGACATCGAAAGGTTTGTTATTTGACTAATATGTTTCTATAACCCAACGTGACTGCGGTGCCCCAACATAATCCATGCAGCACTTGCTGTTGTGCCCTAATACCTGTACGAGGGAAGATCTCTACGCGGCCACGGATGACAACATACTATTCGAAGTCAATATAGCCCTCAAATAAAAGATGCATAGACACGATAAAAAGATGTCATTTGTGTAATTCCCCAAAAGGCCACACTAATATAATTCCATATATATCTTATTATATATCGTATCTTCGTATTATGTGTATAGTACTAAAACCTACAAATATACGAATACAACTATTCGTAGTTTAGCAATATACACTTACGCTGAAGCTAGCTGTCTCTTCGTGCGGCTTTAGCGTGTACCAATTTGGTTCATGGTTCATTACAATGTTGTCCAAGTCTAGTAACACCTCGCCGAGGAAGTCGTTCGGGCCGTATCGGTTCAAATCCCACACCGTGACCTGAATTGCAAGAAAGAAGTTGTCTATTGATAGCGTGCGCGACGTGGTAACACCAGATTACAGTTTGGATTTCACAAAGTTTTTATGCTATGTATCATTTGTTTTTTAGTCAGAAAACATCGTAAATAAAAATATGTTTCAAGGAATTGACATGCAAGATCGACTGTGAAATTGGCTCTACCTCACGACGACGCTACATTAATGAACAGTGTAGTTTAGTAGCAGTAGATCTCCTTGTGAAAGATTCCGGTTTTGAAGGGTAAGGGTGCTCTGGTGAAATTATAGGCAGATGGGACTTGTCAACTTATATCTCAGGTAACAGGCGCAGGGCAGTGCCCCTCAGATCTTTGCGATTTAAAGCTCTGAGTGGCACTGTAACTGTTATAGACAGGCGTGTAGTTTACCACAAAGCATACGATTTGTTCGTTCCTTCACTTGATATTTTGTAAAAAAAAACAGTGTAAGCTAACACATTTACCTCCAAAGTCCTCTTTTTGATGTCAGTGATCCTAATTCCGCAGTAGACGAAAGTCTGGTTCCAACGTGGTTCCAGAGTGTTCGCCAAAGTCTTAGTGCGTCGTTTGCTTTTCTCGCTCTTGTCTGGGAGAAGGAAGATCTTGGCGTATGGGCAACGAGGGGACCCGTCAGGACGAGGAGTTAACCCTGTTGCTGATACCACGGTTACTAGTAGTTGCAAGGCACTGATGTCGAAGTAGACTTTTAGCTGTCGACAAAATTGGGTGTTTATCTATTTAATAGTAAATTAGGTTTTTTCACTAAATTCATATAGTACGCACCCTTTGTGTAATAAGGTGACATCTGTAAAATGACAACTTTTCAGAAGAGATGTTTAAAGATTCTACGAACGCCATACGAAATTAGTCGACAATATGTTTATGCTGAAATTAGGACAGTTAATTTAGAAGAGAGAAAATACAGGTCCCATGGTCACGGTTGACTGAGGTGGTAAAGAAACGAAACGTTGGTTTGTTTGAAAAAACAAATATACGCAATTTAAATCTGGAAAAATAGTTTCATTTCTTATATCACGTACATTATTTATGTGATTCGTATTTTTTACGACTCATATGATAAAAGCACTTTTGACTTATGATCGCATGTGGTTATTAAATCAAGGGTACATTATTACTCATTCATTCATTCATTCATTCATTCATTTAAAAGGTGATGCTATAAATGTTTCTTCTGTGGTTGTTTTGAATTGTTTCTGCTTGCGTTGAATTTTCCTGATCAAACGTTCTGTTTACGTTATTTACAATTTAAATCGGCTCCTTTAGACAAATCTGTAGAAGCGTTCAGCAAACCATGGACTCGTCATGCCCGTGTCCCGACAGCCATAATGTCAATAGGTACTTCTCACGTAAGTTGTTGTAAATCAAAATAGAATTTTTTATTTTTAACTTAAATATACCCTTCTTTAACCGACTTCAAAGTAAGGAAGAGGTTCTTTATTCGACTATGTTTTTTTGTATGTATGCTACGCTATAACTCTGGCCAATTTGTGAACCGATTTTTTGTTTTGTTTTTTGTTAGAAAGAGGGTACCTCAGTTGTGGTCCCATTTTAATTTGAAGAAAATATTCCAGCTCTAACGGTGGCAAACTAGGGGATGAATTGGGGTTCACCTTCCGGTAACCGATTTGGATAAAACTTGGCAAATACAAGTAATTCCACGAATTTTTGAGGTCGGTTTTTTAGTACTCTGTACTGATTTATGTATATTATAGGTTCTATGTTTGGAAGTAAACGTAACACTTATGTGCTATCTTTACTTTTAAGTATGGAACCTATAATATACATAAAAATAGGATATAATGACATTAAACAACAAAAAAATTTATTTTTATTTACAACAACTTACATAGGAGGTGTCAATCTTTACTTGCTACTCCTGGAACATTTTCTTAATTTCTTTGATGCTCGTCAACCCTTTCACTAAAAAGATAAGATAAAACGAATTACCTGTATTCGTCCTGCGACATTGGCGTTGTGGTGCGAATGGCGCAGCGGGCGGCGACGTGCGTGTACGTCGGGCGATCCAGGTGACGTCACCAGCACGCTCGGCTTTTCGCAACCGCCCATCACCTCCGTGTAAACTTCTGGAGCAGTATACGTTTGAATAGTCTACGCTTTACAGTCAAAAGTATAAAGGTATGACCAGATGGTATGTCAAATTCCACAAAGTTTGTAAATAAGTGTTGAGTAACAGTAGAACCCCTTGTGAAAGAGTTTGTCCAGGGCAGTACTGACACCTTACCTTCTTCTGCCGTTAATCTGTAATGTGAGCGTTACTGCGTTTCCGATTTGTAGAGGTAAGTGTGTTGGTGAAATTACAATTTAGAACACGTCCGTCAGATTCCGGTTTCGTCAGAAATAGTTTTTTTTATAATTT